GTGTTGATTTTCACGCAACTACACAATTTTCTTTGGTCAGAGTCATTTTTTTTTTCTGAGATTACTTTGTCCAGACGCGAATTCCTCGAAAGAAGGATTTATCATTTAGGTGACGGGCATATTATACCAACGCAATTATGTCTGACCGAACTGCTGTATTCCCCAAAGCCATGGCAATTTCTATACACAGTTGAGTGCCCAGACTTGTGTTGTTAGTTTTCCTGTTTCTGTGTGTGGAAGAGTGGGAGTATGATTCTTGCTGTAATGGCGGGTTACTATAGTGAAGTAGTAAGACAATGGGGGTCGTGGTGCAGTTGCGTCCTTGAGCGAGATAGGGAAAAGGGGGGGGGGGGGGGGGAGGAAGGTTCAAGTATATCGCCGCGTGCCTTCCGTGTATTACTTAACCATAAACATACACACTCACAGACACGTATTTGTACACGTAGATACAAATACTCTTTGCTAGACATACACACTCACCAACACACGCGTTTAAACACATATACAAACACACACGTAGCCTATATACACACACTTATACATGAGACAGAGAAGTACAGGGTGATTCGGCCCTAGCATGTTAATTGCCTATCTCCGTAAAGAAAAGGGGGGGGGGGCGCAGAATAAGAGAAGAAGAAACTGGTGGCATATATGTGTATATTTTCTGTATCTCTGTGCAAGTGATGTCTCGCGTACTCTCTGTGTATATGTCGCTCTCTTTGTATATAAAGAGAGAGAGCACGGCCCACTGTAAGTAGTTTGCTAGTAGTGACAGCGACTCAGGCGAGCGTCCACTCTGAGCCAGTGGCTCTCAGCCTTCCTATTGCAGTTCCTTATGTTGTGGCGACCCCCAACCATACAGTTATTTTCGTTGCTACTTCATAACTTCAGTGAACATGTGTTGAGAACCGTTGCTCTAAGCCGTGTACTGGAGCCACAGCTCCAAGCAATATTTGTGTGTAACTGAGTTATTTATTGACTGGCCTTTGATCTCTTTGTATTCAAGGTAAATGTCCTATATTTCTCCCCCCCCCCCAGCCTTCTTCCTCTCTCTCTCTCTCTCTCTCTCTCTCTCTCTCTCTCTCTCTCTCCCCTCTCTCTCCCCCCCCCCCCCTTTCTCTCTCTCTCTCTCTCTCTCTCTCTCTCTCTCTCTCTCTCTCACACACACACACACAGTATGTGTATTTCACTGACTCACTAAAAGAAATTATCTTTTACAATTAAATATACCTACCTATCTGCATAGTTACATAAATGCACACATGCATACGCATGCATACATAAATGGATACATGCATACGCACATACATACGTATATAGATAAAAGCATACATACATACACAGATGCAAGCATACATACACAGATGCAAGCATACATACACAGATGCAAGCATACATACATAGATGCAAGCATACATACATACATACATAGATGCAAGCATACATACACAGATGCAAGCATACATACACAGATGCAAGCATACATACATAGATACAAGCATACATACATACATACAAGCATACATACATACATACAAGCATACATACATACATACATACAAGCATACATACATACATACAAGCATACATACATACATACATACATACATACATACATACATACATACATACATACATACATACATACATACATACATACATACATACATACATACATACATACATACGCGCGCACACACACACATAGGTCTGTGAGTGTGTACACTTGTTTCTGAAATCTAAATCTATAGCCCCACATTCTCTTCCCCCCCCCCCCTCCCCGTTTGAGAATTAGAGGGGGGCAGGGAGATGTTGACACCAATAATCAAGCCACGACTACACTGCCAACCCACTCATACTGCGCAGCCAGAAGTTCGTCCACCAAGGAACCACTGAGAGCTGGCGGGGGTGGGGGGGGGGGAGATGGAGTGAGAGGCCAAGTTTCTCCACTTCCATGTTTTAAAACCGATTCCCAGACGGACACTTGGGATTTGCAGCAGATTAACCATCTCTCCGATATACTTTCCCGATGCCTGGCTGTCTGTTGATACCGAAGGGAATCAACAAAAAGCAGCATAGTAGAATTGTGAAAGTGGGAAACAATAATTGCGGATCCTAGTGGTTCCGACACGGCTGAGGATGTATGTAATGTTTGCCAGCCGTTATTTGTTATTGGGCTGTATTCCGAAGTGTTGCCACGGTTGGTGTCTGGGCGTTAACTCACGGTGTTACATCCCACTTTGTTACTTCCCTTGGCCATGGTGAGACCTTGGACTCATTGTACAACTCGGTCGTGCCACTAGGGGAGGGGGGGGGGTGTTTGGAAAAACGGACAGGGCTAGAGGTAAAGATTTTAAAAGAGAGTAAGGTGTTTAGAGAGAGAGAGAGAGAGAGAGAGAGAGAGAGAGAGAGAGAGAGAGAGAGAGAGAGAGAGAGAGAGAGAGAGAGAGAGAGTGGGAAGAAAAGGAAATTGAGAGAGTAAGAGGAAAGAGTTTGAGAGATTCGCTGCATGAGTTTCAGGGTCCCATTATCAAGAAATAAAGAACAGATCCTGTCGCCCTTAACAAGCATGTCTTAAAAGACACATTAAGGACTTGTTGAAATCAGATGTGTTGGGCCGAAAGCTGCAGATATCGCATCTTAACTGTAGTCCCGCAGAATGTACCAGTCGCTCTTGAATGAAGAGAGGAGAGAATTGGGGGGGGGGGGGGGGGGGCGGGGGGTTTACATCCGTGTGCCGTGAAGTTGATGTGGTAAATAAATAAACATATAACATAAATATTGATTTTCGATCCCACAGGTCATCAATTTATAATTATTATTTTTCAAATGAGTTTAGAACACATTAGTCTTACATAGTATACATTCTTCTAACTGAAAATGTCAGTATGTTTATCAAAATACCCAGCCTGTGCTGCTAAAGGGTTATGAATGCAGTTTCATAATCGCAGAATGCCAGGCTTTATTTAAACTACAGTTTATGTGTGGTTTGCATTGATTTTGACAGTGTCTGTCAGATTTGGATCATTTAAAAAGTCACAGCAAACTCATGAACGTAAAAATGACAAGCAACATCACACATAGCAAACAAAAGCATTTGTTGGCTGTTTGTGAATTCGCGACATCCTATAAAGCAGCGATTCTCAACCTGTGGGTCGCGATCTCTTTGTGGATCCAAGACCCTTTCACGGAGGGGAAAGGGGAGGGGGGGGGGGCACCAAAGACCGTCGCGAAACACTCATTCATTGAAGTTATGAAGTAGCGACGCAAATAATTATTATTGTTGGGGGTTGCCACAATATGAAGAACCGTATTAAAGGGTCGCGGCATTAGGAATGTTGAGAGCCACTGCTGTAAAGGATCATAGAGCTAACTGAAACCCTGCTTCTTTTTTTTTTCTTCTTATAAGTGTTACATCATCGATGTGTTGGGGCAGATGTTCTTTTTCTAATGCGTTAAATCAGTTGATCTTCATTTCCTTGAGGCTGTGCTTGATGCCATTGTTCCGTGTTTTGCGTGGTCTTTCTCTTACTTTGTTTTTATTGTATGTCTTCACCGTAATTGTCTGGGGGAGTTGGTGCCAGGGCATTCTCACCAGATGGCCAAACCAGTTGATCTGTTACTCTTTAATGAATACTAATTTTACTACCTGAAGTATATGTGTAATTTCTTTGTAAAAGGTATAATAATAAATACGATATTACACAGTTATACATTTTTTGTAACTAAAAATTATGAAAAGAAGTTTTCTGTACAAAAATTGACGGATCATGTTCTTGCAAAGAATATCATTCAAATAGCTAGCGGATTTGAAAATATTTTCCATATAACAGTATTAAAACAGGACCAGGTAATGGCAGAAGCCTTAGAACACCAGAATCCCCAAAAGGAGCGAGTGAATTAACCAGACACAGTGGACAGAAGTTTTGCTGAGCAAAAGTTGTGTGTATTAATAATGACAAGCCTTGTCTGTAATGTGTTGACTGTCCTCCCACCACTGTCTTGTCTAACTGTCATTTGATGTCTATCTAATGTGCCGCTTGTTGGCTTGTCTGACTTGGTAAGCCGCGAAGTCATAGCTGAGGCTAATAAGATGAGGGGTTCTAAGAACATTAATCTAATTCCATTTCTAGAAATATCCCTGCGGGCTTCCTGGATTCTGCTAGATATCAAGGTTGATCACGTCTTGCCGCTGGCCTCTAATCCTGGTGTTTCCTTTTGTCAGACTGTGGAAAGTGATTCTTCTGTTTATTAATTTGGCCTTTTTGGTTGTTGTTGTTGTTGTTGTTGATATAATATAGTTTTAAATAGAATATTGCCTTTCTGTCTTTTGAAGATAAATATTTTCTAATAGCCCATTTATTTATCTTCAAAATAATAATTCATTCAATAACACATGTTGCAAATTAATTAAGCTGTGATTCAATTTGTGTATAAATCTACTCTATAACAATTGTTACCACTGACCGGCCACGCCAGTCTCATAAAAGCAGGAATTCCCGTTTGAGCTGTATTGCCTTAAATCTGGATCTGGCGGTAGATTCACATTGCAAGGATAAGAATCAAACAATTTTTCCTTCTTCACCTTCACCCGCTGTAAACTGAGGCGGAAAGTTCTGACTGTTCGTCCACCTCTGAACTTAGTTATGTTGCATGCACATCCATTTTACAGATTTGACTTATTTGTATGTAAATTGTTGGTTCCTTGCCTCTCAGGCAGATGCACTCTGACCTTGAGAGAAGATCCCAGTAAGTTGACTCTTAGGACATGCTTGTCGTGTAGGCAGTGAGTCTCTTCTTGTTTTTCATGCAGTGAGGCCCCAGAACCTACATGGGGAAACAAAGACAACTCCCAGAAACCCTGTTCAACCATATAGAACAGTTATATTGGGGTCTCACAGACCGGTTACAAACTAACCTGTTGTTCAGTATGGGTAGATTGTTAAAGTTTAAATTATGAATGTATGTCATTTTTATGTATTCTATCTTTATTTCTTCAGGGGCGTTTCTTATCATTCATGGGAAACACCAGAACAGTCTGGCATTTCAGCTAGGGGGAGCAGCAGTGGTCTGTGTCCCCATCCTTGTGGGCATCATCCTCAGTATTGTCTTCTGCGTTCGACGCCACAGACGGAAAGCCACATTCACTAGTGTCAGCACTGCCCGGGTGTAAACATATACTTGATTTTTATTGTTTCCCTTAGCTTACAAATCATTCATTGAGAGTTATCTAACATAGCAGTTCTGCCAGGATAACAGGAATCATACATTCATTTATATTTTAAAGCAGACGAGAGCAACATTCAGTGGTGTCAAGATCAAATTCCCAAGAAGGGGAAAAATCTCAGGAGGGAAAATACACATTATAGTGGCAATTGGGATGCCAGATTTTTTAATATGCTTTGACCAAATGTAAAAAGTATGAGAACACATCACATGATTTTTGGGATTCACAGGGAAGAGAAAATCATAGACCACATGTTGCTTGGGACAAAAATTGCTAACCATGTCTGCACCCAAGTAGTCAGTTTCTCTGCCATGATGACCTCATTGATGAATGAGCTGATGTCAGTGTCGGCATCAGCATAAAAACACTTGCATATAAACTTGTTCCCTCATGCTAAGATTGCTGTGATGCAGAATGCTCAATTGTTCAGTTTAGAACATTTGTTTTGACTCATACATGTAAACAGTGCCAGTAGAATATGCCATGAGTCTGATCTTTTCGGCTTTTATAAATAAAACAAATGTTTTTCTTCATTTTCCAGTGGAGTATGCCATGAATTGTTAACAGAGTATAACAAAATGTTTTTCTTCATTTTCCAGTGGAGTATGCCATGAATTGTTAACAGAGTATAACAAAATCAATGTAGAGAGTCTTATCCTTTCGGCCTTTATAAAATTGTGTAAAATAAATGTGTTTTTATTCATTTTCCAGTTGTATAAAATAAATGTTTTCCTTAATTTTCCAGTGGAATATCCCATGAATAATTCACACATTATGAAGAATCAACACAACTTCATCCTTTTTTTTTTGGGCGTTCATAATAATATGTAAACCTAATGTAACATTTTCTTAATTTGTAATCTGTTAAGGATTCAATGCTGCCTTTTGAATCCATCATTATCTCAGAGATTCCTGCAGCAGATATTTGCTTTAGGTATTCAGTAATGGAACTACCCTGATGTATATTGAGCCTTATAATCTGAAGTTTGTGGGTTTGATTTCGGACCCTGTCCTTCATTTTATGAGTGCAGGTGTTTCAGAGATTCATGAGGGTTGTCGATAGAGCTGCAGAATTGTATGCTTTGTGTGATGCTGTCAGTAGGTGGAATGAGAGAGACCAAGCCATTTTTTAATAGTCCCAATGCAGTAAAGTCTATTCTCTTGCCTTGAAACACCCACACCTTTGTATTCATTCCTCTGAGGCCATCATGGCATTTCTCCTACTCTTCTGTAGCTGCTTCTTCTGTAATCACCTTTCACATTGACACATTGTTTTGTGGTGTACAGCTAGACTGCCATATCTGCTCCTTTCAGCTTAACATGTCCATTTTCAGGAAGCCCTGATTAGTCACCTTTTACTGAGTGCTTGTTAGGGAGGGCAGTTTTTTTTTTTTTTGGCCTCACGTAGAACCCACACAAAGTTGAATGTTGTTAATTATTGAATTAAGAATCAACACCACAGCACTCTGGAAATTCCCATAAGCACTTTGTCCCCTTCTTCAGCAGCAAACACAGAGTTCCAGTTCTGATGACACCAGTAACAGTCTGATTATATATCCGGCTCACTTTTCTCTTGATCGTGGAGTTTCAACCGGAAACCATGGTCACTCCTACCCACACAAAATGCTCTCCTTTAGCCAGGAGGAACTGTTTGTATGACCCTTTGCTAGTCCCAAAAGTGTACATCCTGCAGACAACCATTTTGAGATTATAATGAAGATTCTATGAGGGAGACTCAGACAGTAAAACATTCTGAGTCAGTGCTGACAGTTTTACGGTTCTGTTTTAGGAATCATAAAAATATCTACCAACTTTTATAGTAGGTATTGCCAGCCTGTACAGTAACACCATTTTGTTCATTTCACTGGCAAGCTACATAGTAGAAAAGAAAATGTATACTTCGCTGCAAGATTATTTCACATGATACAAACCTATACTTTATTATAAAAAGAATTTTCATTTTATAGTACAGATTCTGAACATGAGAATAACATTGTATTATATTAATGGTCTGATCTGTTTAAAATATTTTATCACAGATGGTATGTACAGTTAATTGTAAATTGTTTTATTTTATGAATAGATTTATTTTGAGTTTGTATTAGTAATTTTCTTTAATTATCATCTAATTCCTTTAGTGTTACAATTTCTATGGCCTGTATTTGATTTTATATAATTTTCTTTTCATTGACCCCTTATTACTACTTTTTCCTTGTCTATATCCCAGGCACATTTTGTACATTATCTTCATAGAAAGTTTTTGCGACACCAAGACGGTCTGAGTGTGTGTATGTGTGTACTTTATATGTGGCAGCAGCGGGTTGGTTATCACTTTCTTATACCAGGGACATGTCGGGTATATGATGGTAGACTCATATTTTAAAGGATCTATCGGCTCTCGATGAGTCGTGGGAACTAATCACATTTGTCAGCTTTACTTCCCAGTACAATACCTGTTACAAATTTTAGGCTGGTTCAAAACTGGGAGTAAGTATAACAAAACAAAACAAAATAATCCTCCTGATACGGGTTTCAAACCTAGACCTTCAGGTCAGCATGTAAGTGTTTTTGGCTGTGCTACTTCAACTTCTGGGTTTGTAAGATTGGCCTATAATTCTACTATTATAAGTAAGCTAGAGACAAAATAATACCAAATGAAGTGGGAGTCCTTTGTGGTGGAGAGGTCAGGCATTTACCTCATGTGTGAAAAGTGTGGGGTTGATTTCAGACTGCATTGTTCGTTTCCCGAATTTTTTTTCCAGCAATCCTTTAAAATTATCACTTGGAATATAGAGTTTATATTTTGTGTGACCATCTCAACAAGTGGCCAGCCGCTGCACCGAGAGAGAACGAGCCAAGGGGGATTAAATCCATTGCAGTGAAGTTGATCCATTTGCCTTTAAACACCCTTTTAAGGAAGAAAATGTAGGGTTTTGAACTTATTGTGTGAACAGTAATTCTTGAATGCTGTGATACAGATAAAGAAAAACTCGCAGAAAAAACTGAAACATTATACAGTATCCGAACATAAAATACACTTTTTATACAAGATCTTAATATCAGATAAAACCAGATGTGGACATTGAATAAACCCGATTGATAAAGAGAAATCTGCCTTTGAAATTAAGTACTGTGGCCACATTAAAAGTCTCAGTGTTAGAAGTAAGAGCAATGATAATCCATGTTTCTTAGAAGCCGACAAACAAGACCGTGGGAATAAGACATTAAAGACACTCTTTTTAAGAAAGAAAATCAAGGCTCTTGAACGTAATGTTCAAGAGAACTTTCTTGCACACATTAGATCCATTAAAAGAAAAAGGGGGGTGGGGGGAGGGAATACTGATAATTTACAGGATCTGAACATCAAATAAAACTGAAATATTACAGAAGATAAATTGCACGTAAAACCACCTGTTTTTGAACACCAAGTGATGGACTGAAGGATTTATGTATGGGTGTACCATAAAGACACAGGATAGTATGTGTTAGAGGACTTGTATAGCCAAATTTTGCATTTGTTTGATTGACTGAATGAACATTGTATTTACCCCTACCTTTTCCAGTATTTACCAATTTTGTGACTAGAATATTTGATGTCTACCCTGAATGAATATTTTTCTGAAACAGAGGTTAACAAGGCAGGTATGTTTCTCTGGCTAGACTGTTTGCAGTGTGTACAATGCTATTCATATATGATGGACTAATTTTCAGTCCTGATGTGGTATGTTTTTGTACTATGTTTCTGTTCTAGTCATTATGAATGAATAATGAACATTATGTATATAATCTGGTATTTTTGTTTTTAACACATATATTTTAGATGGGGTCGTTAATCATTTTATGAATAGCATTCATCCCTGACTTGCCATATGGTCCTAATTATACTGTTTGGACTGTTATACTTTTAACTTCTTTAATACATCTTTATATTAATACACCTCATAAATGTGATTATATTAATTTGTTCAGATTGTGTGGTAAATGTGTGTTACCTTATTCAATAGATGGAATTATTAGATTATTTAATAGATGGAATTATTAGAGACATTCTATACATGCAACATGACATTTGTTTACAGTGCAGTGAGGCAGTTCTTCAGAATATTAAACATCTTGGGAGGGTTGAAGTATTTACAAGTGAGACAATTGTAATATGTTGTGTAAGGGAGTGGGTGAGCAGGAAATATTACTGAATATTAGCAACCACACATAATGCACTCCAGGTGGTGAGATTATTATATAGGAAAATGGATTAATCTTAAAAGAAAAATTAGCCTTATGCATATTGTTTGTGGCTTAGGTGTTGCTGCGCTTTGTAATGCCGGGGTGCCGGGTTCAATTCCAGCTGCAGGTGATTTGGCAGCAGATCGTCTTGCATTGTTTTCGACTGCAGTACTGAGGGCTGACCGTTCAGAAGCAGTGGCAAACTACTTAACGTAAAATTTGCCTAGAAAAACCACGACAAGGATACACAACTTACTTTTTTTTAAAAATTGTTATGCAGATTAAATACTGAGAGCTGTGGTAGCCTAGCAGCTAGATGCTTGCTTGCCCACCCAAGGGTCTTCGGTTTGAATCCACATCAAGGTGGATTTTTGTCATAATTGACCTTGGCTCTCAGATCAGCCCAGAACTAAAATGGGTACCAGGTAATGTCCTAGGAGGCAGAGATAGCTGGCGTTGTGTAACCATTGTCAGCTGAGTCTAGCATGATATGCCCAGTGTACCAGTAGAGTTAAATGATTCCTGTACTTTAGTTTACCTTTAGAGAAAATACCTGGCATAAGAAACAAGAAAGCCATACAACTTAGGAAAGTTGTAACAGCTTGGCAGCAAAATCAGCACATGGTGAGTGATGCTATCAACATGACATTGCTCGGCTTTACTTCCGAAATATAACTTCCTATTACCTTTCTGAGATTAAGCCACATGAGCCCTGATTAATT